ACCAAAAATATCCTTTATGTTGCCCTTTTATAATGCACTCTTCTCCTGCCCACATCAACCCCTCCTTACCCTATCCCTAACCTATGGCAATGCCAAATCTAAAATTTTGTCACTTCAAAAATGTTATATAAATGGAATCATACAGTATAAAGCCTCTTAGGTTTTCTTCACTCAGCATGATTCCCTGGAGATTTGTTCAAGTTATTGTATGTATCAACAATTTGTTCTTTTTTATTGCTGAGTAGTATTGCTTGGTACAGATGCACAACTTGTTTAACCAGTAACCTGTTGAGAAGTATCTGGGCTGATTCTAGTGTTTGTTTATTCAAATAAAACTGCTGTGGACATTCAGGTACGGGTTTTTATATGTACACAAAACTTCATTTTTCTGGAATAAATACCTATGAATGCAATTTATGGATAATATGGTTAATGGTATAAATGGTTTTGTAAGAAACTACTAAACTCCTTTCCAGAGTGCTGTACCATTGCACGTAGCCACACCCATGCCCCAGCAATGTAAGTGATCCAGTTTCTTAGCATCCTAGCCAGTCTTTCATGTAAGTTCTTTGTGTTGTATATGGATTCCCAAGACCTTGCACAGGGCCTGGTACAGCCCACTTATAACACAAATGCATACTGCTTTAAAATATGTTTATGTAAAGTTTAAAACTGGCAAAGAGAAAGAGTGAGGTTAAGAACTTGTAGTGTGGGTTAGGGATGTCACAGAGAGCAGTTTTACTATCTAGACTTGCCTATTGATTTGGTGCTGTAAGGAACTAGAATCAGAAGGTAAATGCATTTAAACTGGTAGGTGCAAAGCTGAAATGTTTTTAAAGAAGGACTAATACAGTAAAATTTAAGTTCTTTGCAATAAATGTTAACTTTCATTACACTGAAGCATATGATGTTAATGCATTTAAGCATATAATGTTAAGACAATAAAATAATCTGAGATATGCCTATGGAAACACTGAGGCAGAAACCTGGAAAAACGACTTTCCCTGTGTTCTCTCTCATTTTAGGTCCAACTTCTTCCTGTTTCCCCTTTCTGCCTCCCACTTGACCTGTTTCTTCATTTCTATGCTATGCACCTTTTTTCATCTCAGTTTAACTTCAGTTTCTCTTCCTTCCAACTGATTTCCTTTAACTAAATGTTATTTTCTCCTGGACTTTCAGCTCTCCCTCCTGGAACTTTCTCTCAGTCTGTCTCTCTGGTGAATTCTCATGGATTCATTCTAATTTAGGACTTAGACTAGACTATTTTGGAGGCAATTCTGTTTTCTTAGGGAGCTGAAGTAGGAAGAGCTGTTGGGCAATCCCATCTGAAGGTCCTGTTGACTATTTTTCTTGAAGCTTTTTTTCTCTCCATGATTCTCTCTTGGCACAAAATCCTTCCGACTACTCTCATTGTTCTTTTTTTTCTCAAAAGGCTTCTGCTTCCCAATAACCACAGACACTTTGCACTTTCACAGTTAACGATCACATTCTACCTGCGTTATATCACTTTTTGTCTTTTTGCACCTTTGAGGTGATGAACTTGCAGAGAAGTTTCATTACCTATTCATATCCAAAAGTGCCCTGTACAGTACTGGGCCTATTGAATAATTACTAAATGAATTTGCTTGATATTAACATGTGATTGACTTCAGTTTTAGCAAGTCTTTTAAGATTTTAAATGTTTCTCCCCAAAGCATTTTCTATTATATTTTGGAAATTTATGAGTACGAACTGGATAATTAAGTAGATAATTAAGTGAATAATTAAGGTGAATCTGTAAACCCTGCAAAACATAGTAGTTAAGAAGTCACCTTGGATAAAAGTGTGTAGAATCAAAGAATTGTGTTCATATTAGATTTAAGTTCTGGATGGAAAAGTCCTCTGTAAGGACATCATTATTCTATCTGGCATTATTCATTCTTGAACATGGGTTATATATTAAAGTTCCAGTGTGTTCTGGCACAAAATCCAAATAGATGATTGTGTATTACAACATTATATTAGGAATAATAGCAATGCAAGGAGAAACCAAAATGTATTTAGAACTCAGCCTGAGCTTTCTCTGCCTCCTCAAGCTAACATGAATTTTTGACTCCAAATGTTATAATTAAAAGTCCTATCTTCATCTACATATTTTTCATTTCTCTTTCTCAAATGCCTGTTCCAGGTGTTTGCCAATGATTAGACAGTCACTATTCAACTATTTTGTTTCTTAAAATCTTCAAATGTTAGAAATTACAATGTTGGCTTTCATGGACTTAAAAATGGGTATGTGTGTGGTTTTGTGTGTTTTCTTCCTAAGCTCAGGGATAAAACTAAACAAGCATGAGTACTGGGCAGGCCAGCTAGTTTTAAAAGAAGGCAAAAAGGCTCAGAGAATCGGCACGTTGTTAGACAGGGTGTGCCTACTGGCACAAGACCTCCTGGGGAAAGGCTGGACATTCACGATGTTTGCGAGTAAAAGTAGAAGGTAGAAAATGACCACACAAGGCCCAGTGTCCTGACAGCCTGGCACGAATGCAGCTCAAAATAATTACTACTGCTGAAGGAGCCGTTTCTGTTCCATCCTGTCTTCTTGTTAAATAAATAATAATAATTAAAAAAACAAAGCAGTATATCTAAAGATATATATGAAACACTCATATAAAGCTATTTATTTATATATAAAAATCTGAATTTTTTTCTTGCTTCCATATGAGGACGCCAGCTTCCTAATGAATAATGGATAATGTGTTTAGGACATTTGATTTTAACAGGGCTCTACTGTGCTGAAATAAATGTGTGGAGTTCTATTAGAACTCTACTAGACCTTCAAGCAGCATGGTGCCGGTAGACTCCTCTTTTAACACCTGCAATAATAGAGAAAATAAGCCATTGCCCAAAGGCAACAAATAAAAATAATGTGTGAAGAAAAAGAAAAATACTTCTCCCTAACGGCAGCAGATGACCCCGAACTTTATAACTTCCTCTCCATCCGGATAGGGAAAGCAAGACCGAACTTGTCGGAAGGTCAGCGGGGCTTGGCCACCGGGCGCGCGCTGAGACAGCTCCCCTGGACGAGAGTGGCGTTTGGAGACTTGAAGGTGAAAGGGGAAGAAGCCAGAGTCACCGTCTCCTAAGTACAGGAACTAAACCTGGCAAAGGTCAAAGCTCCCGGTGTAAGTCCACTGCGGACGACGCCCGAGCCCCGCGTTTGCAGCCGGCGAGTTGGCTTGGGAGGGGAGAAAGTGGCTGGCCCCAAAGCGCAGCCCCGTGGGGGCGCGAGTGGCGCGACAGGTCTCCAGTCTAGCTCGGTTTGCGGTCCCCTTCGCTCCCACGCCTGCAAATCCCAGACCCCTCCGTCGTCCCCCTCGCCCGCCTTGGTGCGTCGAGATCCCGTCGCCCGCCCGCCATCCCTTACCTAGCCAGAAGTGCAAGCGGTATGTGAAGCCTCGGCTCGCCTGGGCCGTGTGCAGCACCAGGTAGGCATCCCCAACGTAGAAGTCGCCGTGAGCGCTCTGGGGCACCGGGACCAGCTGCAGCTTCTCAATCCTCCAGACCTGCAGCCCCGCTTGCTTACCAGCCCGGGCGAACTCCTCGTGGTACAGCTCCCGCGCCATGGCTCCTGCACGCAATGCTCCGGGGAACGTGGGATATCGCTGATCTCGGAGTTGGACTAAACGGAGAGCCGCAGGAGGAACCTCATTCTCTGTCACTTTATAGGGTTTGCCATCCGGGGAGGAGGCGCCACGAAACGGGAGGAGCTCAGTGCCCAGGCGCGAGTTGAGGAGGAAGCGATCTCTTCCCACAGGGAACGTGGCGCTGGCTTCCAAACTCCCACGCCCTGCCCCAGGCCAGGAGCGGAATCAGCATCCTGCAAGTTTCAGAGGGAATTTATAGTGACTCGCGCAAATGCCTCCTCTAAGGAAAGACGTTTTCTCTAGCAATAGAGGAAGAACATTAACGATTAAAACCAGTTGGCACTCCCCGTGCACACCCATCACCACCGTCCTGCATATTTCCCCGGCTCTCGCTAATCCTGTTATTTCTGGTTCTCAGTTGTGCCTGGCAAGAGGGGTGAGGTGAGGAAAGAGCGCGCCAGCCATACGGAGTTGAGTCAGCGTTTACCCGGGTGGAGCAATACCTGTTCTTTCTGGCCCTCTAGAATAATTCTTTCTCAGAACAAGGCTTCCTGTGCTGATAGCAGCACCTACCGTTAGGCAGCAGATGAGTGTGCCACATTAGCATATTGGAAAAATTTTAATGCATCCTTCTTTTAAAAATTGCTTTTTTAGTAATAAGCATCCTAATGATCAATTCTCTAATTTAATTGGGCAATCTCTCTATTCCTGATGACCAAAGTTTCTCTGTGTTGATTTTCCAGTTTGAAAATATTATGAAAAACAGCATGTCAGTTTTCTTGGAAAGGAAGAAAACCTGGAAGAATGTTAGTCTTACCACAGAGGACAGAGCTCTGTAAATCTCAAAGAGTTCAGGAGCTGTGGTTGAGCTCTATTACCACCTGCTTCCTTTGACAAAGAAAGATGAAAAGAACAACAACAAAATTCCAGTAGCCCTGCTCCTGAGATGCTCTCTGCAGGGCTGTTTGTGGCTGTAATTTTATGCTTGGCTTGCCTTCTGGGTTACCTGTTACCTAGTTTCAAGGTGATAATTTTCTCATTGTTTTACCTACAGGTTTTGCTTTTGCAGCATGGGTAAAGCACTATAGAACACAAGTGGAAGATTTGCTCTTGATTTGGCGTTCATTTAACAAGTTGGTATGGCAAAAGATTCTGTTACTGAAAAAGCAAATCACTCAGGAAGCATGGAGTAAGAAAGCTGAATTTCATGCATGCAAATTTTTTTTTCATTCAATTCTCAAATTACAAGAGTCCCTGGAAGGTCAATAATAATGCAAAATTATATTTTTTCCTTAAGTAAAATATATTTTTAAGTAGGTTATTACATGACCATGGAAAAAATTTTTAAAGTACAAAATGTGTGCAATAAAAATTTATCTTCACTTCACCCTGCCATCCAGTTGCTTTCCCCAAACGCAATTACATTACCAGTTTCTTATGTATTTTTCTAGAGACACTCTATTGCCAACAAGAATATCGGTAATGTATTTTAAATTTTTAACAGAAATTGTAACATATAACCTTTCTGAATCCCCCCCGTGTGTGTGTGTGTGTGTGTGTGTGTGTGTGTGTATCAACACACAGTACTCATAGAGCTGTCAGTTTTTACTGACTACATGGTATTCCACCTTATAAACATACTAATTTTTTTTGTCTATCTCAGTTCATAGTGTATGGGCCAAGGGAAAAGTTCCCCTCTACTTTCTGAAGTTTCACCGAAAAACCAATTCACAAAAGGCAGATTGACAGGAGAAATGGCATACAAATTTATCAGCATACATGGGGGAGAATCACAGAGTGATTGCCCAACTTCCCAATGAGGTAGAGATGGTTATATATCCTTATTACAGGAAAGGCAGATGGGGGATGTATGAGTGATTTGGGGGTTAGTAAATGATTTTTAGGGAAATTCAATGGGCTTGAAGAACATACAATGGCCTGAGACAAAGTCTGTTAAGCCTGCAGAGCAGACAATGGTTTGTGACAAAAGTCTGTCCATGTGTGTTGACAGACTTCAGTCTTTCTGCAATACCAGTTCAGTTTGTGGAAAGTCAGGGAAGGAACTAGAGGTAACTGTTCTCTTCTTTGGTGGGTCCAGACTTCAGGCAGATAAGGGAGCTTCGGAGAACAGCTTCATCCTGTGCTTTGGGAAAGAGAGGACTGATGAAGAAAGGTCAAAAGGAACTTGAGGCTTCTTCCTCTCAGCATGTTGAAATGTCACATTTTGTGGCAATGGTTTCTGAGCCCCAACATTAGGCATTTAAATTTTGTGTATGTTTTGCCAATACAATATTACAAATAGCATATTGAACATACTTTATTATGCATGTGCAGTATTATAATTGAAATAACCCCCTGAAAAAATAGCTTTTATGATAGTGATGATAATTGTGAAACCAATCACCCCCAGTTAGTGATCTTTGACACTAGGCTATGGTACAGAGTACCTTGATTCAATTCTTGCTTCTATCCTTGGTTCTGAGACTTTCAGCAAGTTACTTAATTACATACAGCCAGCCTCATGTTCCTCATCTATAAGATGGGAAAATAATAGTATTTGCCTTATAAGATGGTTATTTGGATTAAATGAGTTGACACAAATAAGGCATTTGTGTCTGTTACATAGAAAACACTCAATAATTAGGAAACACTATTATGTGGTGGTGAGTGTCCTTTTGCTCCTTTAGATATCTACTCTATCCAGCATCCTTCCATCTTCCGTTGAGGTTGATCTGCAAGAGCCAAGTCAAGTGGGCTCTGATGTCCTCTAGCTTGAGGCTTGGTTGGAGACCAGAGGGAGAAAGGAGAGTAAGGTCAGAGTATTTATTTCCTTGTCTCCTTCTGCAAAAAGTCACTGTTCTTTTAAAGGCAAATTACTGTGTTTGGCTTTTCTCTCCTGATGGGTTATAGCAACTCTCCCCTGGCATGTTTCTTTAATTTTCTCTGCCTCTGTACTTTTGTATATAGCTCCCTAAAAAAATCTCCTGGAATTTCCCTATTTTGCATGCATGGTCTGTTATAAGTTGAGATCCTGATGGATAAATTTTATTGACTACATTCTTTTTTATTTTTTTTCTCCTGACCAAAACAGTGAGAGATGGATATGATAACCTCATTTTACTGAGGAAACTGAAGCTTTGGAGCTTGCCACAGGTCAGTCACCCAGCTGATGAATGGGAATTCAAGCTCTTTATCGCATTAAAAAGCACTTGCTCATTCCAAAAACTTATTCTTTCAGTTTAAATTATTTGGCCAGGTATTGTTCACTTTAGTATACCTTATAGTTCTATTTTCTTTACTTTGTACCTAAAAAAGCTTCTGATCCAGTGTGTCCCATGCAGCACTAAAAACTTAGTTTTAACTTGGAGCCGTTATGTCTCGGTTTCCTTATCTGTAGAGTGAAATCATGTGTTCTCTTCCTCCTGGGTCAAAAAAATATAAGAACTAGTGCTCTAGACTTAAGATAATTTAAAAACTAGACATGTCTCAAGTTCGGTTTCAATTTCAGTGATCATTCCTTTCTTGGAGAGATAAAAGAAGCTTTGGTATAGATGAAAGTGAAATTCCTTCTAGCTTAGGCCAGAGCTAGGGTGAGGCAAGTAAGACACTTGCCTAGGTGGCAAAAGTTAGGGAGGCACAAACAACAACAAAGCATCAATCAAGATAAATTCTATTTTAAGGTGATATTTTAAAGCTCAAAATTAATGCAAAATATTATGATTCAAAGATAACATTTCAAATAGAGACAGGATTGTTAATAGTGCTGTATAGGCTGAGACAAAGGAAAAGTACTGATCCTGCCATTACTTAAAACTTTGATAGTTAATAGTTTTGGCATTAATTTTGATATTTAAAAAGTGTTGCTTTGGAATACTATTTTATATGCTGAAATACTGACTTCCTTTTTGTCTTTTTTGTCATCCTTTTAATTTTGTGCACGTGGCAAGGGCCTCACTCCGCTGACCCTAGTCCTCTCCTGGCTAAGTGAGCTCCATATCTAAACTTCCAGCTCTCTCCTAGGTATAGCTACCTGACTGGTCCTGCTCAGGTCAAGTTCAGCATATTCACAAATCTTATCATTTTATCTAAACATCTATTTTTTTCTGATTTCACTAACAGGATTCTAATTTGGATCTAGCACCCTCTCTTTATATTCAAACAACAATCCAGTCCATTCCTAGTAGCCCACTCTCTTGCCTCACTTCTGATCTTCAGTAGAGACATGCAGCGAAAGTTGAGTGGCCTATCTTACAAAACAGCTTTGAACTAGGTTGAATCCTTGATCTTCCACTCTTCAGCTCACTGAGCTGGGGCAAGTTACTAAACATTATGTGTCTCAGTTTTCTTACCTGTGGAATGGAGAGACTGATAGAAATTTCCTTGTAGAATTGTCATGAGGATTAAATGGATAAATACATATAAGCCTGGAAAAGTATCTGGTACATAGTAAGTGGCAATAAACTCCATTGAGACTAACAAGTGATGAATTCATTTCTCCAAATTCAATCCTCAAAGAATAATGTTTCCAGAGTCTAGTTAAGGACTACCCATTTTTTTCACACAAAAAATGTTCTCCAAAACCAAGTGCCAATTTCCTTTCCTGGCCTTTATTTTCTCTTCCTCTCTCATACCCTAGTTTCCTAAAAGCAAATCGTTTCCTTCCATTTGTGTTATTGCCCTTCTTCCTTATCTGTCTGTTGGCGTTTCTAATTCTTTAAAGTCTGCTTCTTTAGGGTCATGATTCCCCTGGATCCATTAAATTCCAGAATCCTCTGTGCTTCCAACAGTCCCGGCACTCCAGATCTGCTTTCATCATAGCAGCTCCCACACTCTAAAGTATGTTTTGTCTCTCAAGTTTGAAGAGATTCGTGTCATCAAGAGATTCATGTCTCACTATTTGATACACTGGCTTTATAGTAATACATGCTGACTAGGTATGATTGAATTGTTTTCTCTATTAAATTACACTTACATTTTCATCAATTTACCAACCTCAGTCCAGGAAGAAATACCCAATATGAATAAGTCTTAACCAGGAGTCAGGAGGTTTGAGGTTTGGGGCCATGTGACTGGATTCAAGGCAAGTGTTCTAGAATATCAATACCTAGAGGGGAATATTGCATACCTTAATCCTCTGAATAAAAACAATGTTAAATAATATAATTGATTCATTGCACAATTCACTAAAATGGGTTGGTAAAAATGAAAAACTGATCAGCTTCAAGTGATCTTCATTCCTCAGGGAGTAGAATCTCAGAGTTTAGCGACATTTCATTTATATCATTGCATGGTGATCGCAGAACTGTTAAAACTAAATGTATGAAAGACAGGAACTGCACTTTTATTTTCCTTCAGGAGAGCTAAATCCTTCAAATGTGCTATTCATTTGCTTTCTTTTATTTATAAATAATGAAATATTATAATTAAAAAGACATTTCTTTTACTGGTAGTCATGTGTAATTGTAATAACTTAAGTTTGATTTACCAAATGATTTGAGGATATAAGCATAGAACCTGGAGTCAGGAGACCTGAGCATTATGAGGATTAAAAGAGGTTATATATGTCAAAGCGCTGAGCACACATTCAACAAACACAGTTGATAATCAACAAGGACGTTTTTTTCCAGTACCTATCAAAGCTTCACTTGGAAGTGAAAATACATTCTAGGGAAGTGTATTTCCATCCTTCCTGCTCATGCTAAACACACTATAACTAAAAAAAATGCACTCATTCTTAAAAAAGCTTCAGTCAGGAGTTTAGACCTTCTCTTTCATGAGTCAATTATTTTTAAACTACACATAACACTATAACTATAAAGTAATATGGAGCCATGAATTATTATGGTCCAAGGTTCAGTACTAAGGTGAACGTTTTATTGCTGTTGAATGTCTGCTGCGGTGATACATGGTCTATTTTTGTAAACCTACTTACTACATCATGTCGTAGTTGGCTGGTTTATGATGTAAGTAATCTCTAACCCGTGTTTGATTATTGACAGAAGACATCATTACTTTATGGGTTTATACATTGAAAAATGTTTATAACCAAAACAAAGTTTGAGGATAAAGGACTCATGAAAATTTATGATTTAAATGTTTTTTTCCTTTAAAATTATATTTTTATAAATGGAGATCATATGGTCTAAAATATAAGAAAATTGAGGCCAATGGTGTTTGAGCCTTACGTCAACTTCTTTTTGCTTGATTTTTCTAAATTCATGTTTCTATTTTGCCAATAATCACAATTAACAATGAATTCTGTTTTGCTTGCTTATTTGTGGCCCTGGCTTTACCACTTTGTAAAAAATAACTTCTGATTTTCAAGAGCTATGTCAACAATACTTGAATGTTAGAACTGTGTAACCATAGAAAATGATGGAAGAAGTCAGATATAATCAGATTATCGTTTTGTTGTGAAGATACTTTCAAAAATAAGGTTAATTAATTTATTTAAACCAAATAGAAGGTTTTTTTTTTTTGAGACGGAGTTTCGCTCTTGTTACCCAGGCTGGAGTGCAATGGCGCGATCTCGGCTCACCGCTCCCTCCGCCTCCCAGGTTCAGGCAATTCTCCTGCCCCAGCCTCCTGAGTCCCTGGGATTACAGGCACGCGCCACCATGCCCAGCTAATTTTTTGTATTTTTAGTAGAGACGGGGTTTCACCATGTTGACCAGGATGGTCTCGATCTCTTGACCTCGTGATCCACCCGCCTCAGCCTCCCACAGTGCTGGGATTACAGGCTTGAGCCACCGTGCCCGGCCCAGAAGGTTGTTTTTAAAAGTTAAAACTTGAAGATTTTTTTCTGCTAGCCAGTAACAACTTCCTTTAGCCAATTCTCTTTTTGATGCAACCTCCCTTTATAGGAGTTTAAATTATGCAATTTGACTGTAACTCCTCTAACTCTTGGCTTCCCCTTAGTATTTTGAGGCTTCCTTGAAATCACAGGCCTCTATGGAGTAAGCAAATTGACTGAAAGGATTTCTGAAAATGTTTTAGACTTCAGAGAACAGTATATCTTGAGGCCTGGCAAAGGGAGGCTCATCAACTCCATGTCTACCCAGTTCCTCTCCTGAAATGACAGAAATTTAAAATAAACAATTTAACATATATTACCTGGACAGCTGGTACTCATGCTTCTAGCTGAGGCCCAATGAAGAAAGATGGAGGGTAATATGCTTCACCCAAGAAGTCTTAGGGCACTGGGATACTTGCGGCAGTAAAGATGAAGGAGAATTCTTTTTATTTTTCTACCGTTTCCTCATTTCAGTATCGACAGGGCATTTTTTTTCTGATTACCACGGTTACACGTTTACTGAAGACAATTTTGAAAATACCACTACAAATGAGATTAAAATGATCCCTAATCGTACAATCTCGGAATATGCTCTGATAACATTTTACACAAAATCAAGATCACGATATAATACTGTACATCTCTAAAATGGGGGTCCTATATGATAGGATTGTTATGAGGGTTAAATGAGTCAATAGAAATAAAGTTCTTTTTTTTTTTTTCTTTTCTTTTTTTTTTTTTTTGAGGCGGAGTTTCACTCATGTTACCCAGGCTGGAGTGCAATTGCCCGATCTCGGCTCACCGCAACCTCCGCCTCCTGGGTTCAGGCAATTCTCCTGCCTCAGCCTCCTGAGTAGCTGGGATTACAAGCACGCGCCACCATGCCCAGCTAATTTTTGTTATTGTTTTAGTAGAGACGGGGTTTCACCGTGCTGACCAGGATGGTCTCGATCTCTTGACCTCATGATCCACCCGCCTCGGCCTCCCAAAGTGCTGGGATTACAGGCTTGAGCCACCGCGCCCGGCCAAGTTCTTTTTTTTTTTTTTTTTTGAGACAGAGTCTTGCCCTGTTGCCGGGCGCCAGGCTGGAGTACAGAGGCGCAATCTCGGCTCGCTGCAACCTCCACCTCCTGGGTTCAAGCAATTCTCGTGCCTCAGCCTCCCTAGTAGCTGGGACTACAGGCGCATGCCACCACGCCCCAGCTAATTTCTGTATTCTTTAGTAGACACGGGGTTTCACTATGTTGGCCAGGATGGTCTCGCTCTCTTGACCTCATGATCCGCCCGCCTCAGCCTCCCAAAGTGCTGAGATTACAGGCGTGAGCCACTGCATCCGGACACAAAGTTCTTGAAATAGTTCTTGCCAGCTAGTAAAATGCTCAGTAAAAGCACATTGTAGTTATTCACACATAAACACACAAACTCATCTACCCACATGTACTTCAACCAAAATGGAGTGCATATAGGCATGCAGCTTTTTTTAAATTTAAAACAGCATCATATTATCAGATTGTAAACATTCTTTCAGTCAAGTTTGTATAGATTTACCTCATTAAAAATAATGGCTTTGTATTTCATTGTATTAATTAATATGCAGTTTCCTTATTTTGGTACTTTTAGTTGCTTTACGTGGA